ATTCCCAGGGAATGCCTATTAGCAGCTGTCACCTCCAGGCCCAGTAAGTGGGGAAAAACAAAACAAATGTCCTCCCTTCCCTGCTCATCCACAAGATTTTTCCAAGTCCAGCTGCATTTTGATCCTGGGAAAATTCCTATCTTGGGGAAAATTTCTATGCTGGGACAGCGGCAGCTCCGTGGACCCACATGGGATTTAGGAATCCTTGTCCAAGCTCCTTGCAGGCACGAGAGGCCACATTAAACACTTGGAGGAGGCACCTGGGATCTACCTGAGTGGCTCTCAGTGAGCTCTGACCTGCAGGGACGGAGTGAAGCGTGGAAGGCATCCAAACCCTGGATCTGAATCCCTGATTTCACAGACGTGGTTGTCTTACTACGGAGCTGCTGTTAATCCACACTCTGAAGCACTTCATCTTCTCCAGCTGATGGTCAGAACTGCATTCCTGCCAAAATCCAAGCAGCACTTTGGTTGTGAACAGCACTGGGCAACGTTTTGCCTCATTTTTTTATTGCCTGGAGAGGCTGTGGATTCACCATCCCTGGAAGTGGCCAAGGCCAGGTTGGACAGGGCTTGGAGCAACCTGGGATAGTGGAAGGTGGGTGGAGGGGCAGAGGGGTGGAGCAAGATGATGTTTAAAATCCCTTCCAACCCAAACCATTCCATGATTTTTCAGGGGTCACACTCACACCCCCAGGTTGACATTTGCTGCCAGTGAGGGGAGAGACACGCCGACCTCACATGGCACTGCTCACAGGTGACACAGTCACCAACACCCGTTGGCAAGAAGAGCAAACATCACCTTAAAAACCAGCACACCTGAAACTCCAACCTGCTCAAACTCTGCATCAACCCCTTCAAGCTCACACCAGATTCCCACCTATCGAGTATCGAGTCGGACGCTGCATCCAAGCCACGCCAATAAAACAAAACTCCCGCTTCGCCTCCACCTCTGCGAGAGGAGATTTTGGCTGCCCTGACAACTTGATCCACTAATGGCTTTTGGATGGGTTATTCTTGGCCCCCCTCCCCGCGCTCGCCCTGGAAGCCCCATCCCAAGTGACCTCCCTGCACATGCCCCGCATATTTCAGCCATTAAACGAGATAATAAACCCCCAGACCGGATATCAGCAAGTGTTAATAAGATGTAATTCATTCCTGGCAAGCCCAGAACTCAGATCCTTATTAAGAAGAAAAAAAAAAAAAAAAAACCAAAAGCCACACCAACAAAACCAAAACACACACGCAGGTTCAGGGGGCCAAAGTCCAGCAGGAGTTCAAGTGCACGGAGCCACTTTCATCCACGGAATTAAGAACAATATTTGGAACGTGGCGAATTCCCCCGGAACCAAAGGTAATAAAACTCAGATTTAGGGAGAAACAAAACAAAACAAAACAAAACAGGAGGGAAGGAGCTCATCATTTGTGCTGTGAGGCTATGGGGTTTCTCCACGTGCTGTGAGATCCCTCCAGTCCGGCTGACCCCGGGAATGTCTCACTTGACTTCATCCCACTAGGGGCTTTCTCCCCAAGGAGAGCTCCTCTCATCCAGCTCCCCTTATCCAGCTCTTCCCATCCTGCTCTCCCTCATCCAGCTCCCTCCAATCCAGCTCTCCCCATCCAGCTCTTCCTATCTCGATCCCCCTCATCCCACTCTCTCCATCCTGCTCTCCCCCATCCAGCTCTTCCTATCCCACTCCCCCTCATCCCACTCTCTCCATCCTGCTCTCCCTCATCCAGCTCCCCTCATCCAGCTCCCTCCAATCCAGCTCTCCCCATCCAGCTCTCCCCATCCAGCTCTCCCCATCCAGCTCTCAAGCTCTCCCCATCCCATTCCCTCCATCCAGCTCCCCCCCATCCAACTTTCCCCAACCAGCTCCTCCTCATCTCACTCTCCCCATCCCACTCCCTCCATCCACCTCTCCCCCATCCAGCTCCCCCCCAGTCCTTGACTCCCGGCCAGAAACAGCGACGGCTCCGAGCGCTCCAGGACAGATCCTTCTGATTATCACAAAATGAAATTTTCAGCCCTTGTCATCGTCGGCCTCAGATTTGTAATGTTACAAAAACACCATTTCCTCTCCCCATTGTATCGAGGCCTCTTCCACTCCCGCTGGTGAAATCAAACAATTTTAAAAGAATTTATATGATGCTAATTTAAACCGAATGGACGGAGCTGCCAATCGCGGCTCCCCTGACTCTCCAGGCCTCCTGCCAGCTCGGCTCCCGTTCCAGGGCCGTTATCCATCACAGCCAGCAGACCGAGGAGAAGGACCCAGCGATCCCGGGAGGGGACACCCTGCCCCTCGCTGTCGGCACTGCCAAGGGATGTGACCCCTCAGCTCTCGCTTCTCCATCCACGCAGCAGCTCGGGGTGTTTTTTTTGTCCAGGAATAAACCTGTTCAAATTCCTGTATTTTTGTTCAGGAATAAACCTGCTCAAATTCCTGTATTTTTGTCCAGGAATAAACCTGCTCAAATTCCTGTATTTTTGTCCAGGAATAAACCTGCTCGAATTCCAGCGTCGCTCCAACTCGGCTTGCAAGTGGCAAGTGGAGTTTCATCCACAATCCAGCCGTGGAGTTCCAAGCTGGGACACAACTCTGCTCCCACAAAGGGCGAAGGAAACCCCTTCTCAAGGCTGCAAATCCCTCTCATAAACCAGCAGAAAAGAGGGATTTGGGGGAGATTGAAGATGTAAAGTTCCCTGTGCCATCTGCAGGCAAATTAAAGACAAGGGGCTGGAGAGGGACTTGGGACAAGGGATGGAAGGACAGGACAAGAGGGAATGGCTTCAGACAGGGTTAGATGGGATATTGGGAAGGAATTGCTGGCTGGGAGGGTGGGGAGGCCCTGGCACAGGTTGCGCAGAGGAGCTGTGGCTGCCCCTGGATCCCTGGAAGTGTCCAAGGCCAGGCTCGAGCAACCTGGGCTGGTGGAAGGTGTCCCTGCCCATGGCAGGCGGTGGGAATGGATGGGCTTTAAGCTCACTTCCACCCCAAACCATTCCACAATTCCCTGAAAACCGTGCACGGGTTGCTCCACAGGTCCATCACCCACAGGATGAAGAACCAGCTTTCCCTCCCCTTTATTTCCAGCTGTTTTCACCCACTGCCCCCAGTTCCTGTACTTGGGCAGAGCAGGAGCAGCCACTTCCCACCAACCCATCAGTGCCTCCCCTGGTTTGCAGGAGGCAACTGTTGTGAGGAGGAGGAAGGGTCAGAAGTGGTGAGGGAAACACCAGGACAGCCCACAAGACTCCTTTGGAGCAAGAGATGGAGAATCCACAGAGCTCCAGGCACAGCAGGAGGGATGGGAAGAAGAGGGAAGAAGCACATCATGGATGTAAAAGAGATGGAAACACAAAGCTACAGAATTGATCTGGGCAGAAGAAACCAAAAAAGTACTGGAAATTATGGAAGTTTTGCAGAACTGGTCACCTAAAATGCCACAGAAACCTGGCTGGACTTGAAGATCTCACCCATCAAAACCACCAGGGGCCAGGAGGTTGAAATGCCTCCCCCAGAACCATGAGCATGAAACAGGAAACTATGGGACAACAAAACATCTGCACCCTTTCACGTGTCTAAAATTGCTAAATATCCTTCAGAGAACTTAAATGTATTTCTTTATTTAAAGAGTATATTCGCTGGGTTGACTGAACACCAAACAAATGAACCTCCTATTCCTTTCCAGCCAGCAATCACAGAATCATTAACGCTGGGAACGACCTCTAAGATCATCAAACCCAACCGAGATCACCGAACCAAGAACCTTCCAAAAAAAGCTCTGCTTGCCAAAATGAACAAAAACAGGGTGTTCTTTTAAACAATTCTGCTCCAGAAGCTGGTGCCTCAGGTAAACCCAACACCTGGAGCACCCCCCCAGCCACGGCCACCCTGCACTTGGTGGCTCCACCAAACCACATCCAGGTCATGGTGTGCTTTTCTGCACGTTCAGACAAAATGATTTCAGTTTGAATAAAAAGCTTTGCTGAACTCTCAGATGCCAAGTGGCATCTCCCCCCCACCTCTGTGCCACAATAACAGGCTTGGTTTGCTTTCCCAAAATACCAGAAAGTGGCTCAGAAGAACTACAAGGCATCGGGAATAGGGGAATTTAATCAATTAATAGAAATCCTCAAGGATGGGGTTTATAAGACGGAAAATTGAACTTGAACCTCTAATCATAAACAGCACCACCTTATCATCTCGTGAAAAATTACGGCAAGAGCCCTTCCCACAAATCAACACATCCCAGCCATCCATCACTATCAGAGGAAGTGTTTTACTGCTCGTACGAGGTAACATTTCACTGCCAGGGGATTTGAATTTCATCAAAGTAGCAAAGTTCTTTTTAAGAGCCACTGGGAGCTTTGCTCCCCGGCTGTGACAAGATAAACTGCGCTGAAACTCAAAACTAGAATATTAAATAGGAGTGGGGAAGAGGCACTTCTGATTTAACACCCACACAGGGATGTTCAATTCATCAGGTTCATCTTTTACAGGCACCAAGCGCTGGGCAAAGGCAATCCAGCCCCAATCCAAGTTTATCCAGCATTTCAAAACCAGCTTTAAGATGCAAAATAAATTAAATTCAGTTCCTGAACTCCTACTGCTTTAGTCCAAACTGGGAGATCAGCGCTGGTGTCTCCAGTTCTTCCAACCAGGTACAGCAGCACAAATGGCAAGTGGAAAACACAAGTTTCAAACACCAACTGCACCTCCCAGGCTCCAAGTTACCAAGAGCCTGCAGCAAAATCCAGGTGGGGGAAGGCAACGAGAAAACTGGATCATCACTTTGTGACAGCACAAAAATCAGGATAAAAAAAATCCGGGAGCACCCACGGAAGGAAGAACCACGGCTTCACCTGGTAGCAAAATGACTCCAAAATCCAATTGACTGCCTTGGGGGGTGGAAAAGCAGAACTTTGAGACGCCTGAACCGCCATCCTGCCCCCCAAAAAGCCCCCGGAGTGTGTGCACCCAAACAAGCCCTACCTGCTTCATGGCCGTCTCTCCGATCTTGTCCGAGTGCTTCCGGATGCTCTCCAGGAAATCCTTGAGGTCTGACATGGACACCTCCTTGATCTCCTCCCGCAGCTTCGGGATGTTGTCCACCATGATCTTGCAGAAGCGGTAGTGGCTCACCTGGGGCAGGTAGGTGTGCTCCAGGTGCTCCAGGGTCTTCAGGGCAGGGTAGTGCCTGGGGACAACAAGGAAGGGGAATTTGGAGCCACTTCCATCCTCTCTTCCCTCAAAAAAGGTGCATTGACTGTAAATTAGGCAATCCAACTAAGCATTCCAGCCCTGTAACTTTAGAATAATGGGGTGCTTTGGGTTGGAAGGGACCTTAAGGATGATCCAGTTCCAACCCCTGCCATGGGCAGGGACACCTCCCTCTAGCCCAGGTTGGCAACCCCTGACAGTGAGAAAACCATGGAGATGGGAATACACCATAAAATCCTATAAACTGATAAACCAGTGTCCAACACATCCATATCCAACAGATCTGGACCTACACAGACACTTGGCATGGTGTTGGAAAGACCCTGGACATGAGAGCTCAGCTCCTTCCCTCTGGACACCAGGAGTCTGATCCCACCTTCCTCCCAACCATTCCAATCCTCCTAAAACACCACTAAAAGTATTTCCATCCAAAGTCATTTTTATTTAGATAAAGAGGGGGGGAAAAATATGGATCCAAATCCCACATTAGGTGTTCAACAGATACATTTTCCACCAAGCTCCTGCCTTTCCAGGAACTGCTGTTGTACCACAGGGTGTGTGACCTTCACAGTGTTCAAAATAACTCATTTCCCTTCTTTTAAACAAATGTAACTTCTAAATTTAAGGCTCTAAGATTCCCAAGGTTTCTCTCCCTGTGCACAATGAATTCCTTTGTATTTCAGTCGTGCCCAATGGCCTTACATTTTACTCTTCCTTTCTGCAGAAAAGCAAATTTCAGAGCCTGGCCCATGACGCTAAATGGAAAATTTGTCTAAGAAGTTAATTTTTCCTCAAATTCCCACCCATCTTTTCCCTTTGGAAGGTGGGAATCCACAGGATTTGCCTGTTTGCTGGAATATGGAACCACCCTGAATGGAGACAGAAGATTCGAGATCCTCCTCCTGTTCTGACCGAAAATCTGATCAAAGGCAACACAAAATGACCAGGGAACCGTTTAGGAAGCATCAACAGTGGAAAATAAATATAAAATATATAAAATATATAAAATAAATTTCAGACCAACCCCAGGACAGTCACCCTGAGGGTGAATTAAGGCAATTTTAGCTGATTACACCCAGAGCAAATCCTGTTCACCAGAATCTACCACTCACACCTTGAATTTTTTGGGGGGGAGAAACAATATCAGTCATAAGGAACAGATTGGCACCAGTGAAAACAACCTGACACTCACCTTCCCACCCAAAATAATCCCTGCCTGAAGCCCAGGCAGCTCCACAGGGCAGTTATTCCAACCAGAGTGGCCTGTCCTGCTCCCAAACAGCAGAAGTCAAACCCCATAACCCAAGTGGTGTTTACACTGGGAAAGGAGTGAGAAACCACTTGAACCAAAATCAAAACTCTCTGGAGAGAAATTTGGGAGCGCAGGGAAAACCAGGAATTAATCCAGAGGAATAAGCACATGTTGGGGTGGGTTTTATGTCTTTTAGGGCGTTGTTTGGGTGCAGGTCACATCCCCTGGACAGCTCTGAGCAGCCTCCCAGAGGGGGACACCTCCTTCCCAACTCTGAATCCCAGGAGCGCTCCCAGAGTGGGGGGAGCAGGATTTTGATAAAGAGGGTCAGAAGTGGTTTCTGGGGTTTTTTTTTTGGTTGGAAAGACTCAGGCTCTGCTTGAGGGAATTCCCATGGAATCCATGAACCTTCTCATGGAGCGCCTCAGGCCCACAGAGAAGCCAGATAGGGAATCTGCATCAGGAACTGTAGAGACAGGACAAGGGGGAATGGTGTCCCAATAGAAAAATGGAGATTTAGATGGGATATTGGGAAGGAATCCTTGGCTGTGAGGGTGGGGAGGTCCTGGTACAGGTTGCCCAGAGAAGCTGTGGCTGCCCCTGGATCCCTGGAAGTGTCCCAAGGCCAGGCTGGAGCAACCTGGGCTGGTGGAAGGTGTCCCTGCCCGTGGTAGGGGGTTGGATTATCTTTAAGGTTCCTTCCAACCCAAACCACTCTGGGATTTTATGATTCTATTTCTTACTGCTTGGAGACCACATGGACACGACAAGTGACCCAGGAGGAAACAAAACAGGCTGATCCCTCCAGAGTTCTGCAGAACCAGGAGGGAAATCCCTGGAGACAGAGATTTTGGAGTTCCCCATCATTTTCCACATGTCTCAGCTGTGGGAGAAAAGCTCTTTCTGTCCTTTCCTTAAATTCTGGACAATGGGGGAGAAAATCTTTCTTCTGCTGGTTCCTGTCACTCCTCTGGGATCAGACCATTCCTCATTCTCCACCTCCAGCTCATGGCCACAGATTTTGGGTTATGAACATCACCCAGCTCGTTCTGTTTGCCTTGGGAGAACGAAACTTGGGAGGGTTTATTCACCCCAAATACAAACCCTATTATTCCTCCAAGACTGTGCATCCAAACCCCAAAACCCAACCCTTTGCTGCCCATCCTGAAGTGATTTACAAGTGACACTGGGTGCAGAAATAAAAATACTTCACATACTGTGCTGCATTTGGTGAATGAAGCCATCAAATCCAGACAAAGAAAGAAGGGGAGAAAAAAACCAGTCAAGGCTTCAGATATTCCTTAAATGTGGCTTTCAGCTCCTATTTGTTTCAAAATGAACCAATACAAAGAAGGAGGAGGGAAAAGAAAAAGAAAAAAAAAAAGATGGAATTCTTAGAAGCAGACCCTGGAAACACTATCCAGAGCAGGGAATGGGGCAGCATGTGGATTCCCTTCAGGAGTTCCCAGGGCTGTGCTCAGCTCCAGCTCCCACCCCACATCTGTCAGCAGAGAAGGCCCTCTCTGTTCCTAAAAACACACTAAAACCATTCTGCCAAACTCCCCCTGCCCTGAGCCATCCTGAGGGAGAGGGAGGAGCTTGGGGAGCGGCTTTGGGAACTCCCTAAGGCTCCTCCAACCAGCCCAACTCCCAGGAATTCCACTTATCTGTTTGCCCAAGGACCCAGGGAGGGAACAGAGGCAGGAGGGGAGGTGTAAAAACACCCCCCCCCACCCCATCCCATTAGTTATCGCCTTGTTCCAAACATCTGGCTCCTTCTGTGCTGTTCCCATGATGGATGGCAGGCACCAGCCAGGGATCCCACTGCTCTCCCTGCCTGGCATCCAGCTGGAGCCACCTTCCCAGCCTCCTTCCTCCCAGCAGCTGCTCTTTTGCCCAATTTGCCACCCCCCCAGGGCTCCCAAGTCGCTCCTTAAACAAACCATCCCCCGGGATTCCAGCAAACATCCCAGGCCATGGTTTAATCCCTCATGCAACAGATGCAGGGTAGGGAAAATCCTGGATTTACAGCTCATGGTTTCAGGGACACCAAGTCCTTAGAGCTCAGCTCACTCTCCCGAAGAGTTATTTCTCCTTCCACCATCCTGATGTTTCCAGGTGTTTGGCTTCCACCCACACTCATTGGAATCTCCCAGGTTGTATTAGAATTGGCATTATTGGATTATGCATCGTGGCATTCACAGAATAAAATGTAGTTGGTAACACTCGCTGATTGCATGCACAACAACAGGGAGCTTCCATAAAAAAAACCAAGGAATATCCACCTTCATTCCAAAACCCGGCACAAAACAAAATCTGAGCCTGCTGCCATCCCAATTCCTGGAGGATGAGCAGGACTGAGAGGAGAACCAGCCAAAAATCAGAGAAGTCAACCTGGAAATGCTGATTTGGAAGCTCTGGGAACCTCTTTAATTTACTCAGCACCAAACAAACCTTTTTGATAATAACAAAACACCGATAAACCAACACAAAATTTACCTCTTGGATTTCATCTGCTCCCGCAGTTTGCTGTACATCTCCAGCACTGGAAAGAGAAGGAAAACACAGGAGCCTTGAGCACAAAGCAAAGAGATTGGGAATTCAAACACACACACACACACAGGTCAGGAGCAGTTGGGAGGTTCCTCACCGGGAAGACACAGCGTGAGTTTATCGACCGTGGCCGAAATGTTCCTCTGCTGCAGCCGGCACTGCTTCAGCTCCTCCATGGCAATTATCAGCTTTGGGAAAGAGGGAAAAATTCCCATTAAAAATGATAAACACTGGTCATGACCACCCAAACTTGGTAGGGTGACCACCAAGCCTGCTCTGATAACCCAGGGAGCCGCTCATTCCCGAGGGGATTCTTCCCAAACCAAGGGGGATTTTTAAACGCTCAGGCTCCAACAGAAAAACTGGACTGGGGAGAAGGGTGAAACAAGGATTCAAGGCCAGGTTGGATGGGGTTTGGAGCAACCTAGGAGAGTGGAGTGGAGATGTCCCTTCCAAGCCCAACCATTCCCAGATTCCATGACTGGACCACTTACCTCTTTCCCTTCATTCTGCAGCTTTCGGTTGGTGTCCGTCACTTGGTTCTGCAGGAATATTGGGGAGAAAAGACAAAGCACACCAGTAAATCAGGGCAGTGCTTTTCCCATAAAACCAAACCATGCTCAAACACCATCCCTCCTCACCCAACCTCCTATTCCATGGAATAAAGCTCTTTAGTGGCTCGTTCCACTTGGGATATAAATACAAGGATTTTCCTCCCTGCCCCTGGAGAGGAGTAAAAGGCATCAGGAGTTAAAGCTGTGGCATGGAAGCCTCAAAGCCCTGCAGTTTTCATGGATCCAACTTTCTACCAGATGCTCATGTGGATTCTCACCTTAAAAGCCAGTGGAGAAATCAAATGCCCTTCCCAACACCAAAGAAATTACAATCAGGTTTCTACTCCTTGGTATCACAGTGAGAAAGAACTTTTCAACATGAGCTTTACCTATAAATAATTATTTCTATTTATACAAACATCCAGAAAACTTTCTTTTAGATCTTCAGATGCACCTTCCACCGGTTCCCTTCTCCTGCCTGGTAGAAAAAGGTATTCTTATACACCTGGGATAAAAAAAGGCCTGTATTCCTTCCCATTTTTCTGTATTATCCCATCAAGCTGGGACTCAGAGCTGAAAAAATTCCCACTTGGCAAACCTGTAGTTCCCTGGACTAGGAGGAGTCCACCAGTCCAGCCCTTCCCAGCCCCAGGCATGAGGTGACTCAGTGAAGACCACAAGAGAACAAAGGGGATTTTTGGACACATCAGGATGGAAAATTAGCAGTTCACCCATTATTTGGTCAGCAAGTAGGAAGATGACTTCAGGAATTCTCCTGAACACTCATTCAAGTCCAGACAGGAGCAGGTTTGTAAACAGAGATACCACCTTCTAAAAAAACTACACCAGCTTCCAAGCAAGCATGTCCAGCTCCAGGTCTCCAGCAAAAGCAGCCAATTCCCAAGGTAAATCCAGCAGGACTGCTCAGGATTCAGGTGTCTCACATCAGTCCAAGACTAACAAGCCATAAAACTACTACTTTTTCCACAGAATATCCCCTTCACAGCCACTGAAGTTGTAAATACTCATTTCCAGGCCCATCTCTATCTCTCAGAGGTTCCCAGTTTTCCTCAGGCTCACCCTAGGGTGGGATTTGCTCCTGGATTTCTGTCAGAGCTAATTCCTGCCTGTTTTGGGGAGTTCTGCTCATTCCAGAAGCAAAACCTTTGCCAGGAGTTCGGACAAGAGCACCGACTGTGACACAGAGCTCCCCGAGGGTATTCAGGAGTGTGAGATCCCAAAAAACCAACCTGAGACCTTTGTTTCCTTTTCAATAATGATGGAAACAAGCTGACTTTTTAAGGAATTTAACCCCAGAGAAGGAATGTCACTTTGTGATCTCCAATCAATGATCCACCAGAACGCGGATGGTGCAGGAGCAGCAGCAACAGCAGAGCAAGGGAATATTATTGGGAAGAGTGTGGAAGCTGGAGCAGGGAAGTGATTCTTCCCCTGTATTGGGTGCTGGTGAGGCCCCACCTCGAGTGCTGTGTCCAGGACTCCTCAATTCAGGAAGGACCCGGAGGGGCTGGAGCGTGTGCAGGGAAGGGAACGGAGCTGGGAAGGGGCTGGAGCAGCAGGAGGGGCTGAGGGAGCTGGGGGGGCTCAGCCTGGAGAAAAGGAGGCTCAGGGGGGACCTTCTGGCTCTGCAACTCCCTGACAGGAGGGGGGAGCTGGGGGGTCGGGCTCTGCTCCCAGGGAACAGGGACAGGAGGAGAGGGAACGGCCTCAGGTTCCACTAGGGAAGGCTTACATTGGATATGAGGGAAAATTCCTTTCTGGAAAGGGCTGTCCAGCCCTGGCACAGCTGCCCAGGGCAGTGGTGGAACCCCCATCCTTGAAATTGCAAAAACCACATGGATGTGGCCCTTGGGGACACGACTCAGTGGTGGACACAGTGATGGTGTCGGGTTGATGGTTGGACTTGATGACCTTAAAGGTCTTTCCAGCCTTGATTATTCCAGGATCTCCTCCCTTTTTGAGCACACCACAAGGCAAACACAGCTCAGACAGGAGGGGAGCTTTCTACTGATATTTATAAAATTGACTCAGGATCCATTTTCTTCCCTGCTGGATCTCCCACACTGACCCAGCCTCCACCAGGTCATCTCCCACTGTGTCGCCTCAACGAGCAGAGCCATCAAACCTCACAAGTTTCCTCTTCTTTCAACACCGGCCACGCTGGTTTTTAAGCTTCCCATGATGGAAGAAAGAGGAATCATCCCATGATTTCCCCACACACACTTTCTCCACAGCATCTGCCTCACATCTCTCCCCCCTTCCTGCAGTAGCTTCAGCTCTCCTGGCTCTTTGCCCTCTGCCAAAACTGCTCATTTCCTCCATGATGTATGGAGATTTTACGAGCGGGAGCGCAGCATCCCTTCCAAAGATTACTTTATTTGCTTATATCCTGAAAATCCCACCAGGAAAAAGGAATCCATGTAGGGTAATTTAAAACTGCTCCTAAAATAATGCCAAGGCTGTACTAGTCTTCTATTAAAATTACATATCAATCCCAGCTCCAGGGGAAAAAAAAAGCCAGGAGACCGTCTGTCCTCGCACACTCCGAGTTTTCAGGGGGCGGCGAGTCCTGTTTTGGTTTGTTCTTAAAGTCTCCATGAAGAAAAAGGAGATGATTATTTACACAGACTCCCTGTAGCCAAGTGGAGGCTTTTCAGATGAGGAGATTTGATAATCTAAGGCAGGCTCCCAGCGAGGTGGGGGGACAGACAACAGGTGGGAACACGGGAAGGACGAGACGCCGGGATCACATCAGGGGCTTACGGGATGCTCCGGTCGTTGCTTCATCCATCTACTCACGGAAAACGAGGGACAGAGAAGGGTTTGGGGGCTTTAACACCACTCTGAGGTCATTTAGAGAGTGTCAGAGTGAGGAGAGAGAGGAGCAAAGGGCGCTGGAGAGGAACCCTGGGAACGGACTCAAGGGCACCAGTGTGACCCCGCAGGGATGTGCCGGCCCCAGCCATGTCCTACACCAACCTGCCACTGACTTCCACCTCCCAAAGGAAGGGAGAGCAACTATGGAGTGATCCTTCAAACTGGCAACTCACAAACTTCCCAGCCTGGGTTTGTTCTCCACCACCTCAGCCGTTCTCCCCCACTAACCCAATCCCTACAGGAATCCACTGCTGGACTTCGAGGTCATCTCCACATGCTGGGGCAGTGATATCCCTGCTTGGTTTTGCATAGGTGAAGGTGAGATTCCCTGAGCTCCAAGCCAGCTCCTCAGTTTAATCAGATCTGCCTTCATCTGGACAAAACAACCAATGAAAACTGCTCCCTTCTCATTTTCTCCCCCTCACAGCTCAGAACTTCAAAGAATTCCAGAATGGGTCAGGCTGGGAGGGACCACAGCAGGTCAGCTGCTCCAGCACACGGCACAGGATTGTGTCCAGATGGGTCTGGGATATCTCCAGTGAGGAGACTCCACACCTGCTCTGGACAATCTGTTCAGTGCTCACAGTTAAAGTTCTTCCTCGTGCCCAGGTGGAGCTTCCTGGGCATCAGTTCCTGCCTGTTCCTCTTGTCCCATAGGTGGGCACCCCCAAGCAGAGCCTGGTCCATCCTCTGCCCCCTCCCTGTAGACCCTGATGGACATGGATGAGGTCCCTTCAGTGTCTCCTCTGGAGGCTGAACAGCCCCAGCTCCCTCAGCCTGTCCTCATAGGAGATGCTCCATCCCTTCCTCATCTTTGTCCCCCTCCATTAAAACCATTCCTGCCCCATTTCCTTGCTGACCAATTCCCTGCCCCAGCTCAGAGACAACACTTACCACCAAAAAAATCCCCAATCCCCACCAACTGGAGGGACTTCAAAGAAGGGAAGTGAAAATGAGATGCCTGGAAAGCACAATCCCCTGGGATGGATTTGGGGCTGCCTGGGAAAATTCCTTCACAGATAGGGTTGTCCAGCCCTGGCACAGCTGCCCAGGGCAGGGGTGGATCCCCATCCCTGGAGGGATTTAAAATCCCTGTGGATGTGGCACTTGGGGACAGGGGTCAGTGGTGGCCTTGGCAGTGCTGGGGAATGGTTGGACTCGATGATCTCAAAGGGCTTTTCCATCCTAAACAATCCCATGATTCTATGAAACCAAGATGGAACAATCCCTTTTTTATGCCTGACAGGTCAAAAAGGACCAAAAAAAAGAGTTTTCATCCACATGACCAGAGTTTCCAGAGAAGGAAGGAGAGCAGTGCCTGAGGGAGGGCCAGCACTGGAGAGGTGGGATAAAAATCCATCAGGAATTACACAGCTCAATCCCAGAAGGGTTTAGGTTGGGAGGGACCTTAAAGATCATCCATTTCCACCCCCTGCCATGGGCAGGGACACCTAACATAAAACCCATCTCTGGCCTTTTAATTTCCACTGGATCCTCTATGGGATGGAACAGCCAGACTGGTCCATGGTTTCCAAGACCCAGCAGTCCCATGTATTGATAGGATTGAGATCAGGTCACCACCATCCTGCTCACTCTGTACTGAGGAAGAATGTGCAGTACAAGATGTGAAAACATTAAAGATGTATAACAAAAAAAAAAAAAGAACCTAAAGCATTGAGATTTCCCTTGTAAGTAAAGGGAAAAAAAAGCCATGTAAGAAATTAAAAGGAGAGAGAATTGCCAGAGTGAGGCTTCACAGTTTTAAAAAAAAGAGTAAGAAAATGCAAAAAAAAAAAAAAGGGTTGGTTTAAAAATGTTATGGTTTAAATATCATATAAATTAAGGAGATGACTTTTAAAAAACACATCCCATGTATTTCCAATTAAGTTACTTTATATATGTGTATATATATAAACAGATGATTAATAGTGGCCCAGCACCTCCTGAAAACAACACAGTGTTGCCTCCTGCAGAAATCCATGGCAGGGGGGATTCCTCTGCTCATCCTGGAATCATAAATTCATTATGGAAAAGATCATCAAGTCCAACCATTCCCCAGCACTGCCAAGGCCACCACTGACCCCTGTCCCCAAGTGCCACATCCACAGGGATTTTAAATCCCTCCAGGGATGGGGATCCACCACTGCCCTGGGCAGCTGTGCCAGGGCTGGACAACTCTTTCCAGGAAGGAATTTTCCCAGTATCCAACCTAAACCTCTTCTGCTGTGACTCAAGACGGTTTCCCCTTGTCCTGTCACTTTTTTGTTGGCAGCAGAGCCCGACCCCCCCGGCTCCCCCCTCCTGTCAGGGAGTTGCAGAGCCAGAAGGTCCCTCCTGAGCCTCCTTTTCTCCAGGCTGAGCCCCCCCAGCTCCCTCAGCCCCTCCTGCTGCTCCAGCCCCTTCCCAGCTCCGTTCCCTTCCCTGCACACGCTCCAGCCCCTCAGTGTCCCTCCTGGCTGAGGATCCCAGAACTGTCCCCAGGGCTGGAGGTGCCTCAGCAGGGCCAGCTCAGGGTCAGGCACTGCCCAAATCCTGTGCCCACATTTTTGATACCACCCAGGATGCCCTCGGCCTTCTTGGCCACCTGAGCTCACGTCTGAGGAGATAAAACTTCCCAATTCAGCGCTGAGTCCTCTCAGGGAGAAGAAATAGGACAGCAGATGTCTTGATTGGGTCCTGATTGGGTTCTAGTTCATTTGGGGCCACCTGAAACCCAACCTCCCAGTCCTGAGGGTTGTGTGACACACGGACAGGGCAAGGCAAGCAGCTCATGCTCAGCCTGTGCCCTCCTAAAACAACACCACAGCTATTCCTGCACACAGAGCATCCTCCAAAACAGCCCAGAGCCAAAAGCACACGAGTGAAGAAACGTCCTGGGGGTGTGACAGGGAGGGCTTTTATTTCATGGCTGGTTGCAATGTCTGTTCAAAGCCCAGCACTACTGAGAAAGAGCCCGAGATCAAATGCAGGATGAATGGCTGGAACAAAACCCACTCTCACCACTCGATCCACAGATGATTCCCTGAGGAAACCCTCACAAAGAGGGCTCAGCGTTTCAAGGGAGAAGTTTCTGTGGGTGTTTTCCCCCCGTGTGCAGTTTTATGGATCACACAGTCATGGAAATCAAGAGAGATCCTGAGGGGACAGGGATGGACTTCCCAGTGAGCCACCAACAAAGGAGCTGTTTGCAGAATGGGAACCAGCACCAAGCCTTTGCAAACAAACAATGTGGAATTCTTGGCTCCAAACAATGGCTTAAAAAAAAAAGGGAGGGAGGGAGGGGGGGGAAAGACTTATTTCATGGTATTTCCAACAGCCTCATCCTGCTGGATGAATCCTCCTCAGCACATCCCTCAGGAAGGTGTTCCTGTGACCACACGGCCATTTCTGGGATGGACATATAGGAAATGCCAGAGGTGGCTTTAAATTAATTAATGAACATATTAAAAGCACAGTCAGCATACTGAAAGTAGGATTCTTCCTTCTTTTCCAGAAAACTTGTTTTTCTGAGGTATATATATATATATATTATTTATGTGGAACATATACAAATATTATATTTCCACATATAAATACAGCTCTACAAGGGAAAGGTCAACTGCTCCTTTCTCTCATGTTCCTGCACAGTTTTAAAGGCCACAAACTTATTTTTGCCTAAGAAACTGGGGTCAGGTACCTCAGGAAAAGCACAATTCCTAAAAATTAACAGGTTTAGTTTTAAGCTTTCTCATGTTTTTAATGCACCACCCTGGTCCAGTTTGCTGAATTTTCAATGACCAACCTATTCCTACAGGAAGAATGAGGAGATTTTTTTATATATATATATATATATATATATTTTAAATTTGTTTTGAACAGAGGAGGGATGTTCTGGACAAAAAGGAGGACAGACATTTCACGTGGTTTCAGAAAATCCCAGAGCAGTTGGGGTCAGACCACCCCATCCCAACCCCCCTGCTCAAGCAGGAGCAACCCAAACGAGTTGCCCAAGGCCGTGACTTCCTCTCACCTTCAGTTTTTGGGCCTCTCCTCTGACCTTGAGCAGCTCTGTGATGGAATCCACGAACCCCTGGTAGTGGAAGTTGCACATCTTCTCGATCTCCCGGTCGTGGTTCCGGATCCGAGCTTCTAGCTTCTCCATGAACCTCCCGTGCTCTTCCCCATCATAGACGGACCTGCAGAGGAGATGCCAGCACTGGTCAAGGTCCCAAGGTCTCTGCCACTGCCACAGCTCACGAGAACGATCCAAAAATATGAACTTGAAAAGGGACAGATCTGCTTTTCCTCTGCATAAACACCAAGCACCAAACTCAGGTTTGAAAATGTTTCTACTGAAAATGCTTCCATTCCAAAGCCTTCCCTCTCCACCAGTTTGATGTTCCCTGAGGGATGAGAGCAGGCCAACCCAGCCCTGGTGGATCTGAAGCCAAGTCTTTGAGCTCAGCCACCTCTGACCACCACGTCCAGCAATTCCTCTTGGACAACATCCTGGATGCTCTTTGGGATTCAAAGGTAAAAGCTACAATGGAAAATACCTCTACAGGGCAAAATCCATTTCCCTTCCCATCCCAAATTCTGCCAGCACAGTTGTCCCTGCTGATGGAAGACCAACAGAGCTGAAGAGGGAGCAGACTGGTGGGGACACCTCAGTCCAGGATATCCAGATCCAGGGAACAGGTCATCTTTGGGAGAGTTAAATCAAAGGATACCAGAACAGTTTGGGTTGGAAGAGGCTTTAAAGATCATCTCATTCCACCCCTGGTGTCCACCAGGGACACCTTCCACTCTCCCAGGTTGCTCCAACCTGGCCTTGGACACTTCCAGGGATCCAGGGGCAGCCACAGCTTCTCTGGGATTCAACCTGTGCCAGGGCCTGCCCACCCTCCCAGCCAGGAATCCCTTCCCAATATCCTATCTATCCCTTCCCTCACTCAGCTTCAGGCCAAGTGTAAAGGTGGAAACTCAACCCAAATTTCTATCCTTCAAACCAAATGTCACTTTAGAAAGCAAGAGGGACCAACTGGTCACCCCCTGGAAGGATGTGGGATTTCAGGGGTTGTTTTCCTGGTTTCTTGCAGTAAATACAGGTATTTTCCATGGAGTGAAGTCGTAGCATTTTGAGAACCACTGGTGGCTCCTAAACCTGAATTCTCCCCTAATCCAAAAGGATTTTCATCGTGAGTTTTATGGAATCTGAACTTGTGTCAGAAATTAAGGTCAAATTAACTATACACTGGATTCCAGGCAGGAATTAGAGAAAAAAGGTGGGAATGGCAGACCTGTAACAAGAATGAAATTTTACAGGATTATTAATCCCAGTGACAAGCAACACTTCAGAAAGAATCAGAATTCCATGAATCCAACTGGACGCTCTCCTGCAGCAAGTCATGAGGTCCCTTGGACCATCCACAAAGGTCTCAAGGAAATACAAAAAAAAATATCAAGACAGGACTAAAAACTGCAGAAAATCTACTTAATTATTATTCTTTAAAACCTACCCAGGCAATTTCAGTTCAGCAGTTTTGGTTCAAGATTCTCAGCGGCCAAAACAAAAATGCCAAATAAATGCAAATAAAATAAATTTAAAAAAGCCCCCCAAAATGCCAGCAAAATGCAAAACAAAAATGCCAAATAAATGCCAATAAACCTGTTTAAAACTCAATGTAAAATAACCCAGACCCCACGAACAGAAGCCTTCAGAGGTGACCACGTCACCTCCTTCACTCACTGGTTGGTGCTAAAGGTGAAAAAAAAGAGATAGAACTCCTTCAAATTCCATGAAAGACACTAATGTGGTGCTGGTGGTTTTTCCTTAAAGTTTCCAGAAGTTTTTGGCTGGGAAAACCTGAAATTTGGAGCCTGAGTGCCATCTAGTGCTGAAGAGCCTCTCTGCAGGGTCTCAGCAAACCCAGCGACTCAAACTCTCAATTCAAGTTTGACAGTTCCATACAACAACAAAATAAAAATAGGTGAGTTGTGTTTTAGGTGAGTTGTGTTTGCACTCAGGTATAAATAATTTTAAAAAAACACAGTAATTCTGGATGAAAATTAATTGGTTTGCATTCAAATGAATATATGTACCTGTCAATGGGAGGGAAAAAAAACCTCAAAATTACTTACAAACTCCAGGTAAAACTCTCTTTGAAAATGGCAAATCTAAGACATTAAGGTTGATAATTAAAACCTCTTTATTCTTCTTCTTTAGTAAAAAAAAAAAGAAGTAGTTGGTGTTCAGGTAGCAACAAACCCCAGCAGATGCTGGGTCAGCTTCAAGCTCAGATTTAAGCAGATTTTGCATTTTTCCTTCTGAATTCCTCCAATTCACCCACAATCCTCCCTGCAAGAACCAACATCTTTGATTTCCATCCTCCCTCCAAAACACAAATAAACAGGGAAAAGCCAAGCCAGACCCAACACACTCCAGATTTCCAGGATGTCCACTCTGATGTTATGGGATGGCAGGTGCTGGCTCTGGATTGAACATCATCACATCAACACACCCAGTGATTATTGGTGACTCTCCACTCAGACAACGTCAGGACTCGGTTTTGAGGCACAAAGAACAAATCTCTCCCTTCCAATCGGGTCAAAACACCCCTCAAGTCCCAAACTCCACCATCATCACCTTCCACACTGGTTCCAGCTCTGGTTCCTGGCACAAAGGACAAACCTCTCCTTCCCAGTCGGGTCAAAACACCTCTCAAGGTTCAAACTCCACCATCACCATCCTCAGTTCCCTGGTTCTGGGACAGATCCAACTTCCTCAGGTGTTCCTTCAGCTGCCAAGAGGCCACAGCAGCCTTGGCAAACCATCCTTGTGATCCCAAATCCTCCACGTGTGTCCAGTGTGACCCATCCAGCAACTCCCAGTCCTCAAGGCCATCTCTGGCTCTCACCTGATGAGAGTGATGAGCACCTTCAGTACAGATTATTTCCCTCCCAGAATCAACCCACCTGAGGCATTATTCTCCCCATTTCTTTCCTGATAAATCCTAGGGATACCCACTGCCTTCCTCTGGATCTACAGTTCCCTCCAGCTGCTCCTCCCAATCCCATTTCTCCTGCACATCCCACTCTGCTCCCACAGCCCACCTGGATCTTCAGGGAACCATTCTGATAATTCAAAAGGCATTAAAGGTGCTGCCCCCCCAAAAAAAAAAAAACACCAGTCTAAAAGGAAAATCATCTTCCCTGTGTGTTTATGCCATTAATAATCACAACAGCACAATAAAACATACAGAGAGGGGAAAGAAAACACAGCTCAGAATTGCTTTGGGCTGTTCCTTCTCTTGGTTGTAAAAACACACTGGGACAGAAACTATAGAGAATGATCCTTCAGGCTGCTTTTTGCCTCTTTTTTTTTTTTTAATCTGCTATAAAAAATTGCTGGTCAAAAAGCTCCTCCACAAAAAGGCTTTTGATTAAAAAAGGCTGAGAAAGAGTGGTCTGTCCCACATGCACTTATCTGATCATTTCAGGGCAGGCTGTAATTCTCCCACTCAAGGCTCTGCTCAGTGACAGATCTGTCTGGTTTATATTTTTTTAAGTGCACTCACTAAACCATTGGAGATGACTTTCAAATTTCTTGGATTGTATTGTTAAGTTTCACAATTTCTGCATTCATTAAAAATCCTTTTTTTTTTTTTTTTTTTTTAGAAAGGTCAACTGGAAAAATCTTTCCAGGAAAGCCACAAATGCATCAGGAGTTGCCATCTCTGCAGCCTGGAGTTACTGCAAAGTTTATCCCCCAAAAATAGGGGCAACCAAAACTGGTGCACACCAAGAAGCCAAACCACTAAAAACAGGGATGCCACAGACAAATATCCAGCTGTGCCACGGGTCATAAAATCCCAGAATATCCTGAGCTGGAAGGGACCCATAGGGATCATCCAGTCCAACCCTCAGCCCTGCACAGACACCCCAAGAGTCCCACCCTGTGCCCCAGAGGATCATCCCAACCCTCCTGCAGCTCTGGCAGCCTTGGGGCTGTGCCCACTGCCCTGGGCAGCCTGGGCAGTGCCAACCACCCTCTGGGGGAAGAACCTTCTGCTGAGATCCACCCTGAGCCTGCCCTGGCACAGCTCCAGCCATTCCCTGGGGGCTGTCCCTGGTCCCCCCAGAGCAGAGATGGAGCTGCCCCTCAGAGGAAGCTGCAGACCCCGATGAAGCCTCCCCTGAGCCTCCTCTTCTCCAGCTGAACAACCCCAGTGCCCCCAGTGCTCCTCAGGTGGATCCACAGGTGCCTTTGCCAGTTCCCAAGTGGCACAAAGGGAGTGGTGGCTCAGGCAGAAGCACCAATGTGTCCATGGGGAACATTCCACACCTTCGCTCTCCCCTGGCATTCCAGAGCCTCGCTGGGCTCCCTGTGCTCAACCCCCACGTGGACCTGGATACTCCTCTGCCTTCCCAGCCACTTCTTCATCCACGAGAGCAAAAGAGCAAAGAGCAGAGGATTGGGGGGTACAGCCAAGGGAAAACTGAAAGGGGCAACAACCTCCTTAAAACATGGTCAGAGGCAGGAGGACACAGTCACAGAATGGTTTGGGTTAGGAAGAAGCTGAAAGACCATCCAGTTCCACCCCCTGCCACGGGCAGGGACACCTCCCACTAGCCCAGGTTGCTCGAACCTGGCCTTGGACACTTCCAGGGATCCAGGGGCAGCCACAGCTTCTCTGGGCAACACCTTGGGTGTTGCCACCAAGCACCAACACAACCTACACTCTCTCCAGCCCTGCTTTAGACACTTCTTGGGACTGTTCCCAGACTGGCAGGTCCTACCCAGACACCACTTCCATGCAGGAAAACTGCCAGAGGAGCTCTGAGTTACTGTACAGGTAGAAATTAATCCTAGAAAATGTTTGGAACTTGCTCTGCAGGTCCTGCCTATCCTGTGCTCAACAAGGGGGACTGGATTTCAGCTGAAGGAGGGCAGGAATAGATGGGATATTGGGAAGGAATTCCTGGTTGTGAGGGTGGGCAGGCCCTGGCACAGGTTGGGCAGAGAAGCTGTGGCTGCCCCTGGATCCCTGGAAGTGTCCAAGGCCAGGCTGGAGCAACCTGGGCTAGTGGAAGGTGTCCCTGCCCGTGGCAGGGGGTGGAATGAGATGGTCTTGAAGGTCCTTCCAACCCAAACCATCCCATGACCTGGTTAAGCAAAGGGCTCCAGGCAGGCCTG